AGGAAATAGCAGAACAAAAACTTTAAAAGTAGTGTAATTAATAGCCACAGAGAGATAAGATATCTTACCCATGAAAGAAGAAAAGTTGCAAAACAAACAATCAGAACAAGAAAGGGCTTTTGGCTATTAAAGAATACAATGTTTTAAAATAAATATTCAAAAAGAAAAGATAGAAGATAGTTGATATAAACTTCAGAAAATAGTACAAAATGGTGGATGGAAAAATATGAAAAAAAGATAAGAAAATTAGAGGGAAATCCCACATCTAGCAAAAAATGGACGGGAAGAAATTGTAAAGAGATATAATAAGAAAATTTCTTAGAATGAAAGGATAAGGGTCTCAAGGGCCCACTGAGTGGGCAACACAATGAATGGGAAAAAGTCTCAGACTAGGGCACATCTTTAAAAAATATATAAACTTAAAAACCCAGAGTTCTTCAGAACTCTAAGGATAAAAGAAAGACCCTAAGATCTTCCTAGAAAAAGCAAGTAACAGACAAAGGATTAGGAATCAAGCTGGCATTATTGGAAGTCAGAAGAAAATGAAACAAACTCTTCACAATTTTGAAGGAAAATAAATATCAACCTAAAACTCCACACCAATTCAGGGAAACTCTCAGTCAAGTATGAGGCTAGAATAAAACTGTTTTCAGATATGCAATATTTCAAAATATCTGTCTCTATGTACCTGTATTCCAAAAGGTTCTGGGGGACGGGCTACTGCAATCAAAGGTGAAAACCAAGAAAGGAGAAGACACCAGACGGAGGAAGAAACAGGGGACCCAACAGAGGAGCGTGTTGTCGCAGCCCCAGGGCCATGCCCAGCAGCAGGCCCAGAGAGGGCCGGCTCTGACGGCAGCAGGGGGACAGAGGGCTCCAGTGTGAGTTTTCCCAGAAAAAGAGAAAAATGCAACCAATGTGCCTGGGCTAGGTAGGAAATATTACTGACAAGTCTGTATAAGAGATGGAGAAGAATTTAAAAAAAGAAGAGAGGAGGTCATAAGACACTAAGCAAATGAAACTTTTATCATTTAAAAATGAGATAAATAACAGAAATGGAATGATTTTGAATTCCAGGAGAAAATGAAGAATTCTTACCAGAAAGAGGGTAATGTCACAGTGTACTAGTGGACGGTGTTTGCATAATCACCGTCAATCTACAGTCAATATGCACTGACAGTAGAGTCAATCAAAATATGTGATATAAATGGTGGTGGGAAAATGCAAACAGGTGTACTTGAACACCAATAAAAAAAGCAGCAATATAAATCAGTGAAAAATATGTGATATAAATAACACTGAGAGGAATGAGAGGTGGGAAGTGGGAGGATTCATTATGGCAATAAATCAATAAATACTAACCTTAAATCCACAGATCAGGAAATCTCACTATACATGCTTTGTTTAGAAACACAGAGATAAATCCCAGGGAAACACTTGAGGAGCTGACATCAGAAGCCTCTTGGAGGTTGGCCTGTTGGGTGGGGATCGTCACTTTTCATTACAGCCCCTTTAGCACTGTTTAGCTTTTAAAAATATGTACTTGGAACTTTTTCATATATCTAGTAATTTTTAAATAAAACCAAAGAACTAAGAAAATGGACAATAGATTGGTTATTAATCTAAATGAATCTTTAATTAATAGAATGACAGGATGAGTAAAATTCAGAGACTGTACAGAACATGGATTGGGGAGGTCGAAGGGGCACCATTAAAACATGAGTTCATAGTGATATGTTTCCATTGTGCTGTGGTTATTTATGAAAATGTCTGGGTTTCAGAAAATAAACACTAAAGTATGTAGGAGTGAAGGGACATCATATCTGTAACTTTCAAATGGTTTTGGGGAAATATATATGTGTACGGAGAAAGAGAAAGAGAGGGAGGGGGAGGGAGAAAGTGAACGCAAATGAGGTCAAATGTTAACAATTGGGGAATCTGGGTGAAAACGATATATTGATAGTAATTGTTTATACTATTTATGCCACTTGAAATTGTTTTAAAACAAGTAGTTTTATCAATTTAATAGGTAAGAAAAAGTATTAGATGATTTTAATTTTAATTAGTAGTAAAATTGAACACGTTAATGGATCATTCAAATGATCTGTTTATGTCCTTTGCTCATTTTACTCTTCTGTTCTTTGCTCTTTCCTATGGGTTTGTAAAGCCACTGAAATACAGGTATATTTGGCAGATTATATATGTATATACATCTGGCATTTATATATATGGCATTCTTTCCTGCTTTCTGTAGCCTTCTAATTTTGTTACAAGTTTTCTTTTTTAACCCTGGACAGCTGACATATACATATAGTTCTAAAAACCAGAACCTGTAGTTATCATAGAAATGTAGATAGTCTGTGGTTCATTCTGCAACTGCATATTAGTTAATAGGCAAAAAAAAAAAACACACCCAAAACCTAATTACAATCCCATCCTGGATTCAGCGTTATGAGCCCTTACCCATTTCCCTGGTTATGTATACTTTTTCTCCAAACCACCTATTTTCCTGGCATCCTGGGTAATGGAAAAGATCTCCCAATTCTAAAAAACAACAACAAAAAACCCCTACACAAAATTCCAAAACCCAAACCTTAAAAGAACACACATCACTATTTTTAAAAACTTTATGCAGAAATATGGTATCTTTATAATATCTTTAAGCAACCACAACTTTTTATGCAAAAAAATGAATTTAAGCAGTTTAAAGGCAAAACAAAGGATTTCTGATAATGAATACAATTAACTGAATGAAAACTGAATGAATATCTTTTACGTTCCAGACACCTTGAGTGAAAGTCTTTGCCCTCAACCATCTCACCGCCTAGAAAGGGAGACATTTTAAGAACTAGATTACACTCATTGTGAGAAGTACAATGACAGCAGACATACACAAGACAGTGAACTTTGCAGAGAAAGGAGATTTGTCTTGAGGGAAGTTGGGTTAGGGGAGCCTTACCAAAATACGTGATAACTCAGCTAAAGAGGCCTCTCAGGCTGTCAGGCCATTCAACTAAAAGACAGAGTCCAAAGTTATTCATTTGATCCCTAAGGCCAGTCCTATTATTCTTTCTGTTGTACAAGCCAGGGAAGGGATTCATGAGAGGTTAAATAACTGATGCAGGTCACATGCTAACAACTGAAGGTTCTAGGGTTCAAACACAGACCATCATTTTAGCTCCTGTGCTACACTGACTCCTGTGACATCTGGAGATAGGCATTCAATCAAAAGACGTAACTTCCAAGAAAGCCTACTACTTCTCAGGCATGGCAAGACTGCTGCACTGATGTCCACAGTTTGCAATTTTGAGAATAGGCATGGTATGAATACATTTCATGGAAGAATGGATTCAGGTAAGGGTGGATATGAACACTCTGTTCAGAGAATGAATGTTGAGATTTCAAGATCCAGGAGGATGAACAAATTTGGCAATCAATGGAGTTTCAAAGATCAAACATTTACTAGTCAAGGTCCTCCAAGGGGAGTCAACAAGTGGTTAAGGGTGGAGAAGATAACAATTAGACAAGTGCTGAGGTCATTAAGAGAGAGAGTGTGTGTGTGTTTCCTTTTTGGAGCTTGGGAAAAGGAATTTGGATGAAGAACTACCGGAGTATGGTAAAATATCCTGAACTTCAAAAGAATAGAGGTTACTTTGTAGTGGTAGGACAATGGCTTGGAAATGAAAAACGGCTTAGGAAGTACGTTTGAGTGAAGGTTGAGAGGGAGGAAGTGACGACCAGGGAGAAAGGTTGGGTGTCCTTAAGGTGAAGGTCTTGGAAGAGAACCTGTGGAAGAAGGTGGAGGTTTGAGGAACAGGTTTTATAATAGAATAGGGCTTAGTGGGGTTCCTTTGCAGGAAGTTGCTAGGAGGAACTGAGTGGAGAGCATTGGACAAAACTGGAGAACAATGAACTGAGTTTAAGAGGAAGGAGGGTATGTAGGAGGGTGGGCTTGTTTGGAGGCCAGCCAGACGGAAGAGGGGATGCTCCTTAGGTCTTGATTTGTCCTTGGCAGTACTGAGAGGCATTAGCCAGCCTGACCATCCATGTCCTAATGTCTGATGGGCACTGGGGTGCATGAGGGGGCTGTAGAGGGGTGGGTCAGGGGACCCTCTGCTTTGATACCCTCAACTTTCCAGGGCTGAAGAGTGCCTTTGGGATGAGAGCTCTCTCCTATCCTTTCCATCCACATGCGAATCGCAAGCCCCAAATGGTTAAGAGGCCTATCCAAGGCCACTTCTTGATATCCGCTGGGGACCTGTTCTACTTCACAGCCACGCTCTGGCAGACGCAGTGAGACACCAAGGGATGCACGTCGTGGGTGGAGAAACACAGCCGGCGGCTTTTGGCTGGGATACCGCCTCTGCGCTGCCCGCGACTCTGCGCGCTGCACCTGCACTTCGCGGTTGTGGCTGGCGCTTCCTCGCGCCCCGGCTGGCCGTTGCAATCGCTGCAACCAAATAAAGCAACCAAATAAAGGAGGGAAAGTACAGTGGGTGACGGCACCAGGGAGCGTGCTGAGGCTGTGCGTCAGCCACCGGCCACGGGTGACTTATATTTGGACCGGGCTGGTTAAATTAGTCACTTTTCAAACCCACGGCTCACCAAGCACATTCACAGTCATGCAAAGTCGGGACGCCGGTGCTGCCCCAGGGGGAACCACTGACGGGGCCTCCAGCGAAGGGTGCCTCGCTCCAGCTTCCCTTGGGTCCTGAGGCCAAAGGGCATCCCTTGAGAGACTAGTAGCGGCGCCCCCGCGAGGGCCAGAGGAAGAAAGGCGACCTCAGGGGCTGATTGCGGCGCCTCATCGCCCCCTGGCGACCCTCTTCTGCCCTGGGACACAAGGGCAGCGCCTGCTGCTAGAATTTGGACTCTTTGTACAATGGACAGTTGTATGCTTCGGGGCGTGGCAAGGACGTGGCGCGCCCAATGAGGCTGGGCGTGACGGAGTGTGACGTTTCACAAGGGGCGTGGCAAAGCGCCGGGCCTCTAGGCGCAAGCGCGCAGGGGCCGCCGTTGTAGGCAGGCTCGCGGGCGTCATCAAAGCCCGGAGGGGGGAAGGTAGTTTTTTGTATACGTCGCAGCCGGGCCGGGGCTTCCTGGGCCGCGCTCCCCGGGTCGTGGAGGGTGGGGACCGTGGCTAGTGGTGTTCAGGGGTGAGGGTGTGGGGGTGCAGCCGCAGCGGAAGGAGGGAGAACAGCGGGCACCCTGGTGTCTTCGGGGAGGAGGGGCCGGCGCGTGAGGAGGCGCCTCAGGGAAAGAAGACGAAGCGAGAGTCCGCGGGGAATCCCCCACCCCGCCCCACCCCCGGTCGGGGCGCGGGCGGCGCCCGCGAGGGCGAGCCCCAGGTGCCGGTTGCCAGAGGCAACAAGCCCCCGGTGACTCACTTGTCCCGGCGGCCCGCACGGCGCAGGTTTTGGCTTGGCGGGATTGCGGGCCCGCAGCCCGCGGAGGTGACCCCGTTCTGCTCCAGGGGCTCCACCCAGAGTAGACCCGGGAGACTTCGTAATATCGGGCTTTAAAACGCTGTTATTTTTAATGTTAGGGTGAAGGCGCCCCACAGAACACCTTTCCCGACCAGGCCCTGAGGTGCAGGTCCTTGAGAGGTAAAAACTTGGGCAGGGAGTCTTCCTTCCTAAAGGTAGGAGGAGGAGGAGGGCACACCTGGCGTGATACTGTGTCCACTAGAAGTCGAATTTCAGCCCGTTTGGGGGGCAGTGAGGACGGTTCCGCGCTGGGATCGGAGCTTTGGCCGTAGAGACCTGGGTTTGGGAATTTCTCCCTCCCTCAGGACCCCCCAGGATTTGGATGTCCAACCAGGAGAGCCACTGGCTCAAATTTCCCCATCAGATATGTATCATTACGCTGGAAAAGCCTAGATAATTAGAAAACCTAAAAAGCCTCTGATGGAACAGCTGTTTGGCCCATTCAGCAGAAGGATGAATGAAGCTCTACCTAAAAACAGGCTGTGAATGGAAGGGACCTGTCATTGTGAGTCTGGCTTTTGGTTAGTCACTGATGTCTTCGCCAGGGTGACCCGACCCGGAGACGGCCCTCCCTCGTCAGGGACTGAGATGTATCCTCGGCCTGCAGTTAAGTTGCAGAACCAGCCGTCCTCACATTAGTGCTCTGTTTGGTCTCGGCCACCTTTGAGTCACATTGGGGAGGATGAGTGTTTCTCAGGTGGCCTTAGTGAGTCAATTCATAATATCCCTATTATTACCCAAGTGACAGTGATCGGAAATCAGGCAATACCTTTATTTTATGGGTTACTACTAGTTTTTTGTAATGGGATCAAGGCCCGTAAGAGATGGAGGAATGAATCTCAGGATTTTCTTTTCATTTTTTCAGGTACCTTCCCCAAGAAATTGACTGGAAATGGGGAAAGCAAACAGTAGTTGGGTGTGACTCCTCCAAGGCATTAGCAGTCAGTCAGTCCATTTGCGGGGGGGGGGGCGGGGCGTGATTAGAGACACGTGTTGGGGGGTGGATAGATTAAAGTCTTCAGCATGTATGTACATTTTATATTTGACTAGCTGTGTTTTCTTGGTAGATGCAAACAATACGGCACTCAGAGCAGACACTTAGAGCAGCTCTCATTTCAAAGAACCCAGTGCTTGTGTCCCAGTATGAGAAGTTTGGTGCTGCAGAAAGGCGTTTGATGAATGAAGCCTTCCGACCAGCCAGTGATCTCTTTGAACCCATTACCTTGCATTCTCAATCAGATTGGATCACCTCCCATCCTGAGCCTCCCCAAGACTTTGAAGAGTTTTTCAATGATCCTTCCAGAAAGACACCCTCTCCAGAGAAACACAGTATTTATATACAGTGTATCGGTACATATTGTTAATATGCTAGATTTGGGTTGGTTGCACAGTGGTGCTGTTGCCAGGGATAGTTTGGGCTGTTGATCTCATCTAATGGTGCAAATTTTGTAGCCAAACTGCCTTAAAAGAGGACATTTTGTTTCTAATTCATATTCACATTAATGAACGATAAAGGTGTTTTGCAAATTTAGAGTTGGTTTGTTTCTAATTCCAAATTTACAATTATAGACTGAGGTAAAGATTGAACTTTTTAATCATCCTAAAGTATGTCTTTAAATTTTCTTCTCAATTATAGGATCTCTAGGAAACACCAGAGTTATCAGTGAAGAATATATTAAATGGCTCAAGGGCTACTGTGAAGCATTTTTCTATGGCTTGACAGTAAAACTCCTAGAACCGGTTCCTGTCTCTGCAACCAAGTGTTCCTTTAGAGTCAATGATAACACACAAAACCTACAAATACATGCAGGTGGGTTAAAGAACTTTAAATTGTAATTGAGTAAAGGATGTGGAGATATATTTAAAGCACATGTACATATCTTTTTGAATAGGGCACATCCTGAAGTTCTTAAAAAAGAAGAAACCTGAAGATGCCTTCTGTATTGTGGGAATAACAATGATTGACCTTTACCCAAGAGACTCCTGGAATTTTGTCTTTGGACAGGCCTCTTTGACAGATGGTATTCCTTTTTGACATTGTTTATAGAAACTTCTTCAACTTGAGACTCTTTGGCGATGTTGAAAGAGGGAAAAAATTCCAACCAGTTGTAATTTTGATACTTAAAGCTATATTCTTCTGGTGCAACATCATGCTGTATTAGGAGGTGTGTTGTTGATCGATTCCGATGAGCTGGGTTCCTCCCCAGGTCAGTCATTTACTATCTGTATGACCTTGAAGCTAATAATACCTGTTTCACAAGGTCATTTTGAGATAATTTACATAGAAGTGCTGGTACATAAAAAGTGTATATATGCCTAACACATATATAGGCATTCTGAGCAGCATATGGGAAATCTAAGTGATTTGGTAATAAATTGAATTAAATAAATTGAGGATATTTGAACTGTCATTAATGTAAGTGAAATTTTGCTAATTGTTTTTTAACTGTTTTTGTAGTCATCATGCATAGATGGAATAACCACAGACTGCTTTATAACTGTATGCTTAACCTGTGTCTTGTTTTATTTTAAAGGAATATACTTCATTTTAAAAAGTGAACTTCAATTTTAGATGTGGGATATAATGAGTTTTGACTAAGTAGGTGTTGAACCCTGCATGGTAATATGGAGGAGGGGAAGGATCCAGAAGAAAATCATATTTTTGCCTATTTTATTTTCTTTTTGTTTTCACTTCTGTTCTCCCATACATCCATTTTTGCTTTCATTTCTCTACCCTTGATCCCCAGGGTCTAAGATCCGTTTGAAGGGGGAAAGTCCAGGAAACTAAGGGCAGTCTGTTACTGTTCTGAGGATGATGAGTAACTGTACTGTAATGTTTGGGACTGTAATATATGAGTGCCCAAGTTACTGTCTGGATGACACCTTAGCTTCTTCCTGACAAATATTTCTATTAGATATCTCTTTGTCTCACACAATCATCAGAGGTAGGGGCCTAGGGCACTATCCCTTTATTCTCAATTCTCCATTACATTCTTATAGCCCCCCAACCTCCCCATGACCCTATCAATACATTCTCTTAGAGACTTGGGTAACTGCTGTCTTCCTGAGTCCTGTATGAGCTCACTTTCTGTAGAAAATAAAGTTGTATAAGCTAAATTTTTATGTCCCCTCTTATTTTTAACCTGGTAGAGATGGAAACATTTTAAGAAATTAAAACTATTTATTGCTAGCTAATTTATCTTGTGCATTTTAGGAGGTCAGAAAGCATTTCTTTAAAATGTTTCTACTTTGTTTAAGTTTCTTAAATATTGCATCATATATGAGAAGTAGTAGTAAGCTAGCAGCATTGATCTGCTAAGCAGTGAGACAGTATCTATCTTACAAGTGACTATTCTGTAAGTTTACAGAGATTCATGTTTTTAAATTGAGAAATATTTAATTATAAAGAAAATAATCTATTTATAGGATTATTAGAAAAAGTGGTTCTTGCTAAAGGGATTGTAGTGCAATATGCCCACACTTCTTTGGCCAGATGAGGTTACTTGTGACACATGAGTAGATTCTGTTTTTCTTAACTTTCAGAATGCTTTCTTTTCCTAAATTTCAAATACTAGTGGACACTTTCCAAGAGTGGGCTGAGGAGCATTCTTTTTGAATCTAGTTGGATTGGACAAATTTACCATGAAATCATTTCTGTAACAAAAAATCCTTATGACTTTCCATAAACAAATGAAGGGCATGAATAAAAGTGACAACATAAACAAGTCAAATTACAAAGCAATCTCCTTTAGAATGAGCTGAAAATCATACTCTGTCCTCCATGTGTGTGAAGATGGTTTAGACAAGCTTAAGACCTAACACAGGAAGTCAGTTGCAAGGAGGTTTATTCTGGTCACCCGACCCCAGCCACACAGCAAGAGTTGTGCTGTGCTTCAAAAGCAGGGGGGAGGGGAAGAGGTTCTGTGTTCTCTCTAAAGCCATGGTCAAAACATGGTCTCTAAGGCATGGGGCGGTGGCAGGGCTCTTTTCCTCGGTAGCGTGGCATGAGGGGAGGACAGGCACCTCACTGACACAGGTCCTAGAGGTCTGTTCATTGTGTCCTTAAAGAGAAAACACATGAGGGCGGAGTGTTCATGTGATCCTTGTCTTTATTCCTCCTGGGGTGCTTGATTTGGACTATTCTTTGAGAAAAAGACTTCTTTTGTGGGAAAACAAAACCTGTCTGGAACTTCTAATTTGTCAAGAATTTGACGTCAAGATGAGTGAGTTTTGCAGGTAGGGCAAATGGCACAGTAGAAGAAGGTTTTGATAGGAATCTGGGGCAAAATCTTCCTTTGTCTTGGGAAACCTCAAGCACACTGGCCTCTGTGAACACAGGCATACAGATGTGTGCGCCCAACCGGATGCCCTAGCAGCAGGCTCTCTTTTGGTCTTTCCTTCAGGAATCTTAACTCTCATTCTGTTGCTGCTTGTCCTTTTTCTGTAGGTGTGGGGATATTCAGCTTTGCCAGGTATGGCAGTGATTTTTACAGCTCAAGCTATGAAGGCAAAGCAAAGGCATTCCAGAAAAAGTCTTCAAGTGACTATTCGGTTTTTGATGACTATTACATTCCTGCAGTGACTAGCGTTTTGCTGCTTCGGTCCTGTAAGGTGAGTTGTTTATAAAATCCAGCAGGGCTATTTTTAAAGAGATCTTAGTTCTCATTCCTCTCAACTTTACATCAACACTCCTTAAGGTAGTGTTATAAATGAGTTTGTGTCATTTTGTATACTTTTGGTGGCTATTGCTTGACTGAGTTTATCAGTAAAAACAATTTAAATGGATACCTTAATGAAATTTACAGGATCTATGCCAGTTTTTTGTCCTATTAGTTACCCACAGCCCTGGCTGTTCCCACATCCTCCCCATTATATTAATTCCAGATTCTGGTGTGAGTCAGTAACCTATCCTTTCAGGCTACTATGGTCATCAAGAAAGCTGCTTTGCTGGGGCCTGAAAAACTTCTGTTCCCTAGCCTCTCTAGGAGGATGGCCTTTTTTGTGGTCTCCAGTTCCTGATGTCTGTCCCACCACTGCTCTTTGGAAAGCCTTTCTCCTCATTTTATGCATTTTCCACAGTCAAGGTCATAGGCTTTTTGCTTTCACCTGTACTCTCTGTGGGGTTTGAGAACTACACTTCATAGAGCAGTGTTTTCAATGTACATTCCCTGCCTCAGCATCACCTCATATGGTTGTTAACATGCAGGTCAAACCCCTCGTCCCAGACCTACTGACCCTGCATCTCTGGGGAAAGGGCCCCAGAATTTAAACAACTTTTTCACTGCTCTAGAGCACTGTCTATAACGTATCAGCCGTTCACCACCCAGAGATCATTTGGCAATACGGGGAGAGATTTTGGGTTGTCACAGCTGGGGAGTGGATGCTACTAGCATCTAATAGCTAGAGGTCAGGGATGCTGCTGACTATCCTACAGGGTCAGGATAGCCTCCTTCTTTCAAACAATGACCCCAAAGTATCAGTGGTGTCAAGATTGAAAGTCCCTGATGCAGTGGTAAGTAAGCGGCTAGGTATAGTGAGGAAAGCAATAACACATTTAAGGAAATGAGGGATTAAGTCTTTGGGCGGATCGTTGAGGTGATGACTATAAGGGGTTTGATTCCTATAAATTTGTTTTTTTGGAAAAGTAAGAAAAAGAAGGGGTGCATAACTGATTGTTGATAATGGTGGCACTATAAAGCTTCAATGTGAATGTCTTGCAGACTTTAACCCACGAGATTGGACACATATTTGGACTTCGACACTGCCAGTGGCTCGCATGCCTAATGCAAGGCTCCAACCACTTGGAAGAGGCTGACCGGCGCCCCCTACATCTGTGCCCTATCTGTTTACGCAAGTTACAGTGTGCTATTGGCTTCAACATTATAGAAAGATACAAAGTAATTTGGGGTGGTATAGTAAAAAAGGGGGAAGTGGTTATATAGGTAGCAAACTACATATTCTATTAGGCCCTTCTCTGGAGCTGTCATTTATCAGGGGAAATTAGTGCAAAGATAAGCCGGAAGCTGTGGTTAGAAAAAAAACGTACAAAGAAATATCCTTAAAAACTTCGACTTGCCTCTGAGTGCCTTACAGTTATAGTGCAATGAGAAATGGTGGAAGAGGTTTCTGTATTTGCCATTCATTTAAGGCAAGAGAGCCTGAAGTTTCAGAACAGAATAAATATTGATATGTGTGGCAAAGTTTATTTTTAAAAATTATGTAAATATGTGGAGATGATTTACCTCACCAAATATGGGACTGAGGTATGATAGTCATTGGAGGAAAAGATTTTTAAGAAAGAAGAGACAAAGTACATAATCTCAGTGTGTGAATGTGTGTGTCCACACATGTCCACAAACAGCGATAGACATCAGTTAACTACTCATGGATACAACCATGCAGGTGACTGCAGCAGATGTCTAATGTGTCTTCATACACATTCATCTTCCCTTAGCTGTGTGTATACTTACGTATGCATACAGTCACATCAAACAAAATCACAGTATAATGCTTTGTGGAACATTTAGCAAGTCGAGAAAAGAAAATAATTATTTTCCTACCCCCAGAAACTGAGGATTAGTGTATTTCTTTTTAATCTTTTCTCCTATGCATACTTGTGACTGTAATTTGTAATTCGTAAGTTTGCATATTTTTGGTATATGTTCTTTTAGTATGTCAGCATAAGTGTTTTTTTCATATTCATATCTATCTTTATCAAGTGGAACATCTTCGTGGGTTAATCTAAGTCACCAATTTAGAGAATCTGATTTAGAAGCCAGTGTTTTCCCCTTGCCTAAACTATTTTGCTATGCTTTGTTAAAATACTAATCTCTTTTCTTCTTTCCAAGGCACTGGTGAGGTGGATTGACGATGACTCTGCTGACACACCTCGAGTCACTCCAAAACATAGTCGTGAGGATAATGTGAATTTGCCAAAACCTGTGGAAGCCTTTAAGGAGTGGAAAGAGTGGATAATAAAATGCCTTGCTGTTGCCCAAAAATAAGAACCTTCATATAGGAGTAATTAAAATAAGTACTTGTACCTTATGCTTTCTTTTGGATCAAGTACTTCTCTGGAATAAACTGTTTACTGATCCTGTCCTTTATCAAAGTAACAGAAGAGAAGCACCTTCAAAACACTTGAACTTGAAATGAAACTCATTTTGAATGATAAAAACTCTAAACTCTTTTGTCTTTTTAGCCTGGTCTCTGATAGCAAGCATATCCATCATATCCATTCTTCAAATATGTTTATTTATATGTCTCCTGTGAAGGCTAGGACCAGCAGTAACTAGTAAGTAAATAAATAGGGTAAACATAGCTGTGTATGTCCCAAGAAAGGATTTTCAAACTCTAATTTCCAGGGGGTGATTTGCTTCAGTTCTTTTTTATTAAAATGAATTTCATTGATGATGCTATTACAGTTGTCCCAATTTTTTCCCCTTTTGCCTAGTACCCCTTTCCCTCCAGCAATCTCCTCCTTAGCTCATGTCATGGGTCATGCATATAAGTTCTTTGGCTTCTGCATTTCCTATACTGTTCTTGATATCCTACTATTTTGTACCTACTAATCATGCTGCTTTTAAAAAAAAGATGTTATTTATTTATTTTATAGGGAGGGGAGAGAGGGAGAGAAACATCAATGTGTGGTTGCCTTTGATGCACCCCCTACTGTTGATGTGGCCTGAAATCCAGGCATATGCCCTGACTGGGAATTGAACCTGCAACCCTTTGGTTCATGGGCTGGCGCTCAATCCACTAAGCCACACCAGCCATGGCCCAATTATGCTTCTTAATCCCTGTACCTTTTCCCCCATTCTCCCTTTTCCTCCTCCCCCCTCCCTCTGCTCCTTCCTTCCAGCTGATAACTCTCCAAATGATCTCTATACCTATGATTCTATTCCTGTTCTGGTTGCTTATTTAGGTTTTATTTTAAAGCTTCAGTTGTTGATAGTTGTGAATTTGTTGCCCTTTTAATGTTCATAGTTTTCATCTTTTTCTTAAACAAGTTCCTTTAACATTTCATGTAATAATGGCTTGGTGATGGTGAACTCCTTTAGCTTTACCTTGTCTGAGAAACACTTCATCTACCCTTCTGTGCTAAATGATAGCTTTGCTGGATAGAGTAATCTAGGTTGTAAGTCCTTGCTTTTCATCACTCTGAATACTTCTTGCCAGTCCCTTCTTGCCTGCAAGGATTCTTTTGAGAAATCAAGTGATAGTCTTATGGGAGCTCCTTTGTAGGTAACTCCCTGTGTTTCTATTGCTGCTTTTAAGATTCTCCCTTTATCTTTAACCTTTGGCATTCTATTTTTTAAAAAGATTTATTTATTTTTAGAGATAGGGGAAGGGAAAGAGAAAGAGAGGGAGAGAAACATCAATGTGTGGTTGCCTCTCACGCACCCCCTACTGAGGATTTGGCCCACAACCCAGGCATGTGCCCTGACTGGGAATTGAACATGTGAACATGGTTCACAGGCTGACACTCAAGCCACTGAGCCACACCAGCCAGGACATAACCTTTGGCATTTTAATCATGATGTGTCTTGGTGTGGTCCTCTTTGGGTCCAACTTGTTTGGGACTCTGTGCTTCCTGAACCTGTATGTCTTATTTCCTTTGCCAAATTGGGGATGCTTTCTTCCGTTATTTTTTCAAATAAATTTTCAATATCTTGCTCTCCCTCTTCTCCTTCTGGCACCCCTCTGATTCGGGTGTTGGTATATTTAAAGTTGTCCCAGAGGTTCCTAAGCCTATCTTTTTTTTTTCTTTTTTCTTTTGATTGAATGCTTTTTCCTTCCTTGTGTTACAAATCATTGGTTTAATTTTTGGCTTCCTCCTTTCCACTGTTGGTTCCTTGTATATTTTTCTTTATTTCACTTAGTGTAACCTTCATTCTGCCCTTATGTTTTTGACATACCCAATGAGTTCTTTGAGCATCCTGATCACTAGTGCTTGGAACTCTATATCTGGTAGGTTGGTTATCTCTGTTTCATTTAGTTCTTTTTTCTGGGGTTTTGTTCTGTTCTTTCCTATGGGTCATATTTCTTTGTGTCCTCAATTTGGCAGCCTTCCTGTGCTTGTTTCTGTGTACTAGGTAGAACTACTTGGACTCTTTAAAAGGCACCTGTAAATTGTGTGGGGTGGAGCTTTAGGTAATTGCAAGGGCTGGGCAACCCACTTCTCCACTCTGTGGCTCTGTGTGAATGGCAGGGCTTGGGGGGGGGCAGTGCTGCTGTCTGGCATCTGGAGGTTTGCCCAGCACTCTCCCCATTTCCAGTCACTTTACCCACTTCCCGCATGTAACTGGCACCCTTCCAGCTATTACCCTGGTGCTGAATCCCAGAGTGGGTGGGATTAAATACGTTCTAAGTCCATGCAGGCCATTTAAACAAACTCTCTTAAAAATCTGGCAGTTTTTCCCACTGTCCCAACCCCCACTGGTTTTTACAGCCAGAAGTTATGGGGATTTATCTTCCCAGCACTGGAACCCTAGGCTGTGCGGTGTGGTCTGGGGCTGGGTTTACTTGCTTCCATGGTATCCCTCCCAGTTTTTATCCACCACTTGTGAATGTGGACCTGCCTGTTGCACCACCACCACCACCACCACCGCCTCCCAGTGCCGTGCCGCATCTCCACACTTCCCCACCCATCTCTGCGACTCTGCCCCTCCTTCCTATCTGGATGAATGTGGCTTCTTGAAATCCTTGATTGTCAGACTTCCATACAGCTTGATTTTCTGATGGTTCCGATTGTTATTTGTTTTGAGAAATAGTTGTAATTCTCTCAGTGGCTGAGCGAGGAGGTGAAGTGTGTCTACCTAAGCCTCCATCTTGACCATAGGTCCTGCTTCAGTTTTCTAAAAAAGGTGCTCTCCCTCCGTTAGACCCACCAGGTCACCTTCTCCACTCACATACCTTCTCCTGTTCTCTGAACTTTCTCTACCTTCAGGGCTGCCTCACATCCAGTCTTTCTCTGCTTGTTGTCAGTTTCTACCTGAGAGAACAAACAGCTTGTTTCTGATTTTAGCAGCTTACAATGTGTTCTCCTTTCTAGAATACCTACAAGTGAAAATAAGACTGGTACTTGTACTACACCAACCTTTTGCTGGTGATGGAGGTTACCTTGCAATTGTCAGCTTTAATCAACAGTCATTTGTGAGGCTTCTTGCAAATAATTGGCTATAATGGTCCTTATGTTTGTGAGTGTTATACTTTCCCTGTGGGCTTAGAGCAGCTGCTGGTTTTTTTCCTGCAATAATATCTCTCTCACTTCTTTGCAGTGCTTACTTGACTGGGGGAGAGAATGTGATAGCATTACCTGTGGCTGTGCCAGGAAGGACCAGGATGGCCTGATGGTCGTGAACATCAGCTTCATTTTCGTGCTGGGGAACAGGCTGAAAACCTCAGATGGAACAAACTGCTTCTGCTCGATCAGCATGTGCCGGTTATGGTGACGAGATGCTAGGGCGATCAATGGACTAGGTGCTAGTGAGTGGAGAGCATTTCTCCCTTTCCCATCTTAACCTCGAAGGTGAAACTTAAAGGTAATTTTTGTTTCAAACTTTGAAACCCAATTTTTCGTTTGTTATTCATGCAGTATGATTTAAAGAACATTTTATAATTGAATCAGTGATTTCCCTCACATCCAGTCCCCTACTTGATTAAGCCTGTAAGTCATTTAGGAAATGATGGCTTACCATTAAATCCAATTGGAGAGTGAATGCTTGGTCATTTTGTACTATACTGAGAAGAGAACCCATGGAGCATGGACTTCTGTGAATTCTGTTATGGGTTCTGTTTCCCCAGTACTGTCTTTTTCCCAAATAATGTACTTTTAATTATTATTCAATCCATCCATTTAAAAATATATTTATTTATTTTTAGACAGAGGGGAAGGGAGGGAGAAAGAGAAGGATAGAAACATCAGTGTGTGGTTGCCTCTCGCACACCCCCTACTGGGGAGCTGGCCCAAAACCCAGCCATGTGTCTTGACTGGGAATCAAACTAGCCACCCTTTGGTTTGTTGACTGGTGCTCAATCCACTGGGCCACACCAGCCAGGGCTCCATCCACTGTTTTTCATTTTCCTACAAAGTAAGCGCCGGTTTAGTCCTGTAGGTTAGCATTAGTTATAACCTAAAAAGTCAAATTTGGTGAAGTGTATAAAGTGGGGTCACAATTACTTGGACAAGATGTAATGCCCATTTGTACCTGCTCTGCATTGTAAGATCAGGAAAACAATCTGCTGTTAAAAAACCAAATCATCCAGTTTTCAAACAAATCAAAAGTGGGACAAACATAAGTTTTATGTAACAGGCATTCACTTAAGTATTGTGAATAAGTACTGGGTTAATGCACTTTTGGGTAATTTCTTAGGATTAGGTTTAAAAATATAATTACTGCAACTAAATTTTATGTCCTATCTTTATATCTTTAGAAAAATGATTTTTCACTCAGTAACAAGCAGAAATCCATGCAGATTTTGCTCTGCACATGCTGAATGAACAAGATCTTTAAGAGTAAAGAGAATTAATAATTTTCTGCTGTCTAAACACTATTTTAGAAATAGGTGACTCTGAAGTGCTGTTCACTTTGGTGCCTATGGGATTAGTAGTATCTCTCAGGTCAAGGGCAGGATTAAGTGTTAACATTTCAGTCCCCCAAGACTATTGATGGGGGGAGGGTTAAAGAGAAGAATGTGGCAAGGTTTCTACTTAGGTTGTTATCCAGCTTGTTCAAGTGCAAGTTCCCCGGACATGAATACTTGTAAATGTCTAACACTTTAGGACCCCAGGGCCTGAGTTGTTACCTCTTTAAAGCAAGCATGATAAAATCTGTGCAGGCAGCTGTGGGACCTCCGGCGGCCCTGCGAGCTGGCCTTTCTTTCTCAGGAAGCAGTATCACTGTCCCTGGCAGAGAGACCCAGCACAAGAGCTTGAGCCTCAGACCTCAGAATGGCAGCTGCAAGCCATCACTCCAATCCAGCCTCCTGCTTCTGTCCCGAGGAAGTCCCTCAGCTCTCCAGAGCCGAGGATCGTGACTCCGCCTTCCCCAGCGCCAGGTACCCCTGAAGGGACCACCATCCTGCCATGCCGCACACATGTATTTACCCTCAGTGGGCCATACCCCGGGGGGGAGGCCTTGGAAAATCTGTGTGGCAGTGCAGCAGAGCAGTAAGTGGAAACACTTCTCAGGGAGAGAGCACGCACACAGTGCTTTCCAAGAGTTAGATCTTAGTCAGTTCTTTGGTTCTGATTGATAGTCTAGAGCAGAAACATCTAATGTAATGAATATAATATGAGCCACATACATAATTTAAATTTTTCAAATGGCCTCATTAGTATTTGCTAAAAGAAGCAGGTGAATATATTTCAGTCATATATTTTATTTAATCCAATATATCCTATGCTATCATTTCAACAGGTAATGAATATACAAATTATTAAGATATTTTACATTCTATTTTCATACTAAGTCTTCAAACTCTGGCTGTTTTTTTACACATACAGCACAACTCAGTTCCCACTGGGCACATTTCAGGTGCTCAGCAGCTCCACCCGACTCATGGCTACTGTACTGGACAACCCCAGCTCTAGATTAGTACCATTTTGTAGTCTACATGGAAGGCATATGAAATTGAATAAACAGGGGGAAAAAAAGCTTTCTAAAGTAAGAGGTTTTGCAGGTCCTCTGGCAGTGCAGTACGGGTTGATATTCAAGTTGCAAGGTGTGAACACTTTTGGATCTTGCCGTTAACCTCTGCGGCAGGTTGTTTTTACACTCTTCTGTTGTCAAGGACCTGGTATTTCCTTTAATGTGTTTTCATTTTTGGAAATCAAAGTTTTAAAGTATTAATAATGTGAATGTTGCTGAGTCCATTTCAAAGATGAGGAAACAAGCCCGCAGTAGCTAGTAAACTGTGTGCAGTGACACCAGAGGCAGAAACGGGACCATATTCCAAGTCTTCCTAATTTCATTTTTGCTGTGCTGTATTTCCACTGCGCTGCATGACCTCATAAGAAGTAAAGTATTACAAGCCAGAAACCTGCCGTATTTTTACAGATTGTTTATAGAAGGGATTATAAGATTAAAGTCTTTTTTCATTTCTTTTGTCTTCAAGTGAGACCATCTGGGGTTGATCAAGGTCAGCAAAATCAGAGTACTTTGCCTTAGTACCAAGAAAGAGGTTCAGTATCCAGAAAGAACTTGCCAGTAGTTGAGGCATTAAAAAAAAAAAGTATAATGGAAAAATGTCTACTAGAAATAAGTTAAGTGAAAACAAAGGCTGCTCCAGCAAAATGTTAAAATTCAGAGCCTGCATTCTCATTCCACCCTAGTGGTCATTTCTTCCCACTGTTTAGTCTCTGATGGATCTGTGTTTTCTTCCTTACACCTGACCTGTGTATAGAGGACATTATTGCTAGGCACTTTGAGACCCCTCTCAGACATTGGACCTGTAACAGGCTTTGAGCACAGTGCTTTGTGTCCTGTGCCCAGGCAGTCTAAATGCTTCATAGCAGCACCAGCCACTCTTGTAATCACAGCTGTAATCGTGAATAGATATCAACTTTTTTCTCTAGCAAAAGTCAGTGAAAAATAAAGAACTCATTCATTCATTCAACAGTGTTTTGGGAGCATCACCTACTATGTGCCAGGCCTGCTCAACACCTTGGATATGCAGCAGTGAACAAAAAACTGGTTCCCTAATGTGATCATTGAAGAGACAGATTAATGAAATGAATAAACATATACGTTTATAACCTAATGTCAGAGTAAAGGGTGAGTAGCAACTGGTATTTCAAATAGGATAGTCAGGAATGCCTCCTCAGGGTGACCTTTGTAGGGGACCAAATGGAAGTGTCATGTCATGTACACATTAGGGGAAGGGTGCACCAGGCAAAGGGAACCACAAATGGAGGGCCTAATTCTTGTGATATCAAGGAGCAATAGGAAGGCCAGTGCAGCTAGAGTAGCAGTACCAAGGGGGAATGTAATAGCCTCCATCAGGTTGTACAGGAAGAGCCCATTGTTAAGGATTGGGTTTTCAATATGATCATGTCTGACTTGTACTTTGAAAGGATATCATAAGGCTGCCATCTGGAAACTAAAGGCCAAGGTGTGGTGGTTGGATAGATAGCAAGAGTGGAAGCAGGTAAGCCAGCTAGAAGTTGATTGCAATAGTCCAGCTAAAGATGATACTGGCTTGGATCAGGGTTACTGGTTGTTTGACAAAGGCAGTCAGGTCCTGGATATGTTTAGGAGGTAGAGCCAACAGGATTGGTGGAGGAGCATGTTTGGAGAGCAGGATCAAGAATTCTGTGGAGGACTTGTTAAATTGGAGATGCCTCGCTGGCATGGCACCCACCTGCTGTCACATGGGTGTGTATCAGTCCAGAGCTCAGTGACACAGTCTGGACTTAGTGTGGGAGTTGACAGTGTGGAGAAGGTACTTAAAGCTTTGACTGCATTCTGGGGGCATAAGTTTCGAGGAGAGTTAGTGTGCTTGCTTTTTTTCTTGAGTTGCTGGAGAAGTATATAAGTAATATATTGCTAGCTGCATGGCCACAGTTTGTATTTTCTGTCAATAATCTTTTAAGAGCTATATTTGAAAATTCACCCTGGCCAATGTGGTTCAGTTGGTTGGATTGTCGTCCTGTAAACTGAATGGTTGTGGGTTTGATTCCTAGTCAGGGCACATACCCAGGGTGTGGGTTCAGTCTCTCGAGACTGTAGGAGAGGCAGCCAGTTGTTTCTCTCTTACATCCATGTTTTTCTCCCTCCCTTCCCCTTTCCCTAAAAAAATCAGTGGGCAGGTCCTTGGGTAAGGATTAAAAAAAAAAACCTTTATAGATAGAGGCTTAGATTATCAGTTTTTCTATCTAATTTCCCCTTAGTCTATCGTCACTGAAGTAATTTTGATCTGGATGTGAGAGGTTTTCTTCTATGAAAAGCCAAGTTTTTCTTGTTCTGTTCATCAGGGGGTCATTACAGAAACTGAACACAAGGGGGAGAGAGTTTCCTTACCTATGCAATAGTGGCTGGGCCACCTGTTGGAACCCTCACTTCTCTTAACCTTATATCAAAAACAAATTTGGTGACAAGGATAATGTCTCATTTATCAATACAATGTATATTTATAGGAGAGATCTTTTAACATGTAACATATATGATTTGTCTTTACATTGGTACTTTCAGTTTCTTTTATTTTTCTTGCATCAGTAAATTTATTGCAAGTAAGAATTGTATACACACACCAGGCATGTTTTTCCACATAAAAGCCAGCATTGTAATACAAATACTTAACACTTTGGCCATGAAACTCAAAGATAAAAAAAACTTCTCAAGGTATCTATATTAAGTAACTGAGTTCTTTAATATTTGTAATCTATGCTTATTTAATTATAATTTTGAAAATATAATTATATTGTTCATTATTCATTATGCTTATTGTATATGACATCTTTCCTGAAATTTTATGTCCTTCAAAATACAACTTTTCATGACTTCAAAATATCCATATGTACCTCTTAGTGATACTATTGTAAAACCAAAATTGTTTTCAAGTAGCAAGTGCTCAAGTCATACCATTCCTGATCACAGATATAAGTGATGTCCATTTTTTTTAAATGGCTCTCTTATACTTCTTGTTCCTATTTTAATATGCCAACCATTGCTTCACTGATATCCCAGAGTTTTCTTGCAACAGACTCATCAATGGCATTAGGCAGTAGTTCGTCCTCTTTACAATCCCCAAAGTACTTTCTTGACACACCTCCTACCTCAGGTGAAGAGGCTAAATAAATCGAAGTCTGGGTACCTTCAACTGGAGTTTGGAAAAAAACCCAAGACACCAAACTGAAAACTCATTTGCCCAATAGTGGAACGTGTATGTGCTTCCCAAGATTAGTCCAAACACCACCAGGATGTACAGCATTGACTACCATTTGTGCCGTCTAAGCAGCAGGCTAGTTCCCTGATAAGAAGGATGGTAGCCAGTTTGCTCCTACTATAACAAAAGCTTTCATCATAGCTTTGTTCACTGCTCAAGTCTTCAAAGGGGATGTCTCCATATTTATAGAGTTTGGAAGAAACTGCCACAATCCTGCTGGGAGCTGAATGTTTGAGTAGTCCAAAGAGAAGATTGGTGAGTAGAACGTGACCCAGATGGTTCACTCCAAACTGCATTTCAGACCCATCTCCATTCTTCAGATAGGGCACTGGAAGATCCCTGCATTATTCATCCAGACGTCTAGTCTAGGCTCTTTCTGGAGCATCTCCTGGCAGAAGGTGCACTTGGTGCGCCCTGTGGCTAGGCCCAGCTCCTTGATGAACGTCATCGGGGCCAGATCCTAGCAGCTTGTGGTCACCCATGCCCCCATGTGAGGCAGCTCTGCAGCCATGGAGCAACCCAGGCCTCATTGGCCCCTTGATCAACACAACCTTGTTGGCACGTGGCCTGCATCCTGACTAATGGAACTTAACCTGTTGATATGCTGGGAGAGAGAAAGGGACCCAGCACTAAGTCAGATCTCCAGGCTAAGAAGACACTTGCAAAATTTCTGTCTTGATGCCTCAAATAAAACTAAAAGACATTAAGAGATAACAGAGTGACTTTCTCTAGATTTATTAGGGAGTTTGTTACAAATATTTGAGCTTTACAGGTATGACTTCATGGATTCACGCAAGAAATTCACATAACACTGATATTTAGCCTTCTCATTACATATACAGAAATAGCATTGCTACCATAGCAGTGGATAGAATCTTGTTTCAAATGGCTTGGTCTGGGGTTTTGTCTAAATCAGGGGTGTCAAACTCATTTTCACTGGGGGTCACATCAGCCTTGTAGTTGCCTTCAAAGAGGCGAAATAATTTTAGGACTACATAAGTGTAACTACTCCTTAAGTGTTAAGGAGCTGAAATTACATTCAGCCCTTTGAAGGCAACCACAAGGCTGATGTGACCCCCATTGAAAACGAGTTTGACACCCTTGGTCTAAATGTGTCATTATATAATGAAAGCACCAATTTGAGGGCTTCTCAAACAGTGATTTGAGTTTTACAACATAACTTGGTAACTTTTTTTTTCATATAAATAAGGCATAAGTGGGTATGTATACTAATGCTGAAAATACATTTTATCAAAAGCAGACATATAAGTATTTGGGTATACATTGGCAGTTGAGATTTACTCCTTCCTTTTAACAAAAAAATTAAAGGGCATATGATTTCTGTCAAATCTAAATCAGTACTTCTACTCATTTCTGGCATTAAGATCATCTTCCTTCCTTCTCCTTTAAACCCACCACTGCCACCAACTGAACAAAGATTTTCCTGAACAACCTCACTTGAGTGATTTACCAGAGGATCTGCACTTTGTAAAATATCAGTATGTGCCAATGTCAGAACAAAACAAATGACCTTTTTTCATTCCACATTGTCTTCTCGGGTTGAAGCTGCTCTCTAGCCATGAAGTGCCCTTTCCAGACAATGAGATTGAAATGAAGATTTGAACTTAATACAATATTTGGCAGATTCAGGTTATTAAAAATAATATTAAAGTTGCAGAGGTACACCTTAAATTATTTGGACTTTCAGAAAAACATTTGACGAAGCCTTTTCCCTATAAAAATCAAGGCCCAAATTAGTGGTGCTCTTTGATTTATAAGTCAACTCTGTGTACTGTAAATTTCTTCAAGGTCAACAAAGACACTTGTGACATTTCTTAAGAATTAAACAAGAAGACATTCAGATTTAAGAACAATGTAAGAGAATTAGGCACATCTTATTCCAAATCATAACCAGAAAGACTTAGAAAATCTAGCACATGAAAAAACTTGCCACTTAAATTACTTTGTTGGAGATTAGGGGGAAGTTGACATAGTGAAAACTATGAGCACCCTCTCCATTTTGTTCACTAAATTTCACCTCTCCATAGAGGTTTTGCAAAAGGATTTGGTTTTCATGATACAGACATAAGGACTCCTTCAAATGGTTTAAAAATACAGTCTATAAAGTATGGACTAAAGCATTCAGATTGAACTTTACAGTTTTACTGATGGTCCAATCAAGGCTGCCATTAAAAATAAGTAAATTACTGCCTCCATGTATATTCTAGACTTTACTATAAATGTTGATGGAAACACACATCGGGAAATAAAATCCCAAGTGCCCCAAATTATAACATATCTGTTTGGTGTTTCAACATTTCTTGGTGGTAGTCAACATGGGGAAACTAGTGATTTCTGCTTTGTCAGGCAATATTTATGGTTCACATTACTAAACACATGTAACAAATAGACTCAGTTTCCTCTTTACATGGGGAACTTACCTCAGTCTTCTTGGAATTAATGATTTGGCCATTTCATAAATTACTTGCTAAATTTACAGAGACTGGCCACCAAAAAAGTCCAAATGTTACTGTGCACGCAATTCAGATATTTCCTAGCACTGAAACTATTCTAACCCTGTGAATTTAAACAAAGTATTCTTTTTGGCAAGAAGCACTACATGTAGAACTGTTTAAATACGCATGAACTGTACCAGGAACAGTTGCACTATCACATGGGAGACAGCTCTGGGGGTCGTGTATACCAAAGCATGAAACACTGGAAGTGATGCCTCGCAGGCTGCTACAGCACTGGGTGCAGTGGCGGCGCTGTTGACCGCACCGGGTGGGCCCTTTGGCTAGCATCTGGGCTTTTCATGGGCTTCGGAGTCCACCTGAGTGGGGGGTGGGTTTCGCGCCCCATGGCGACCCTCCTGGGGGTGTCAAGACCCCTGTTGGTCAGAAAACCTGCCAAGTACCACACCTCTCGGTGAGGGGTGGGGGGCGTGGCGTGCTCAAGGGGCGGTACCAGCTAGCCGCACTAGGGGTTGGGGCGTGGCTCTGTCAAAGGGGCGGGGCGCGCGCCGCCAGACCGCCCCTGGAGCGGGTTGGGAGCATTGGCGGTTTGGGGTGGGTTCTGTGTATACGTCATAGTCGGGCCGGGGCTTCCTGGGCCGCGCTCCCCGGGTCGTGGAGGGTGGGGACCGTGGCTAGTGGTGTTCAGGGGTGAGGGTGTGGGGGTGCAGCCGCAGCGGAAGGAGGGAGAACAGCGGGCACCCTGGTGTCTTCGGGGAGGAGGGGCCGGCGCGTGAGGAGGCGCCTCAGGGAAAGAAGACGAAGCGAGAGTCCGCGGGGAATCCCCCACCCCGCCCCACCCCCGGTCGGGGCGCGGGCGGCGCCCGCGAGGGCGAGCCCCAGGTGCCGGTTGCCAGAGGCAACAAGCCCCGGTGACTCACTTGTCCCGGCGGCCCGCACGGCGCAGGTTTTGGCTTGGCGGGATTGCGGGCCCGCAGCCCGCGGAGGTGACCCCGTTCTGCTCCAGGGGCTCCACCCAGAGTAGACCCGGGAGACTTCGTAATATCGGGCTTTAAAACGCTGTTATTTTTAATGTTAGGGTGAAGGCGCCCCACAGAACACCTTCCCGACCAGGCCCTGAGGTGCAGGTCCTTGAGAGGTAAAAACTTGGGCGGGAGTCTTCCTTCCTAAAGGTAGGAGGAGGAGGAGGGCACACCTGGCGTGATACTGTGTCCACTAGAAGTCGAATTTCAGCCCGTTTGGGGGGCAGTGAGGACGGTTCCGCGCTGGGATCGGAGCTTTGGCCGTAGAGACCTGGGTTTGGGAATTTCTCCCTCCCTCAGGACCCCCCAGGATTTGGATGTCCAACCAGGAGAGCCACTGGCTCAAATTTCCCCATCAGATATGTATCATTACGCTGGAAAAGCCTAGATAATTAGAAAACCTAAAAAGCCTCTGATGGAACAGCTGTTTGGCCCATTCAGCAGAAGGATGAATGAAGCTCTACCTAAAAACAGGCTGTGAATGGAAGGGACCTGTCATTGTGAGTCTGGCTTTTGGTTAGTCACTGATGTCTTCGCCAGGGTGACCCGACCCGGAGACGGCCCTCCCTCGTCAGGGACTGAGATGTATCCTCGGCCTGCAGTTAAGTTGCAGAACCAGCCGTCCTCACATTAGTGCTCTGTTTGGTCTCGGCCACCTTTGAGTCACATTGGGGAGGATGAGTGTTTCTCAGGTGGCCTTAGTGAGTCAATTCATAATATCCCTATTATTACCCAAGTGACAGTGATCGGAAATCAGGTCATGCTCTTATGGGTTACCACAAATGGTTATGATAACACACAACATACAAGTACATGCCAGGGAATTAAACATTTTTATAGTTTGAATTGAGTAAAGAATAATTACCACATGTACTTTTTAAAAAATAGGGTACATCCTGAAGTTCCCAAGGAAGAAGAAACCTGAAGATGCCTTTTGTGTTGGGAGAAGAACAATGGTTGATCTTTACCCAAGAGACTCCTGGTGTTTTGTCTTCGGATAGGCCTCTTTGACAGATGGTGTTCCTTTTTGACATTGTGGTAGACACTTCCTCAAGTTGTGAATATTAAATGTTGAAATAGGGAGAAAAATTCCAAATGATTATATTTTTCATACTTAAAACTGTATTTCTGGTGCGACATTCAGCTGTATTGGGACGTGTGTTACTGAGAAGTTCCGGTGATCTGGGTTTCTTCCCAGGTTGGCCATTCACTATCTTAAATGCCTTTGAAGTTAGTGATACCTGTTGCCAAGGTTCATATTGAGACAGTATACATAGAAGTACCAATACATCCAAAGTGTGTATATATGCCTGGCACATACTCGTATATAGACATTCAGCATAACAGGTAGGAAATGTAAGTAATTCAGTAACAAGGTAGATTAAATAAATTAAGGAAATTTGAAGTGTCATTAACTTGATTATCTTGCTCATTGTTTTCCACCTTTTTTGGTAGTCATCTTGCTTAGATGGAGTAGCTATAGACTGCTTAATAAGTATGTGCTTCCTACCCTGTGTCTTATGACCCTTTGGTATTTTATTTTAAGAAAGTGAACTTAAATCTTTTGAGTATAATGAACTTTGACTTATTAGGAACCCTGTGTCTTATGACCCTTTGGTATTTTATTTTAAGAAAGTGAACTTAAATCTTTTGAGTATAATGAACTTTGACTTATTAGGAACCCTGCATGGATCCAGAAGAAGACCATATTTTCGCGTTTTTGCCTTCTCTTCACTTCTGTTCTCCCCACACCTTCATTTTGCACTTACTGTCTACACACGTGCCCAGGATCTGAGACTCATTTGAGAGGAAAAAGTCAGTGCACTAAAGGGAGTGGTTGTCCACTAGGGTTCTGGGGGTGAGGAATAAGGACCAGGGACTTTACGAAGTACCAGGGACTCTTCTTTATGAGTACCAAGTATATGGACCGTCCCAATGTTACATTGGCCTCGCTATG